TATATAATGAAGGGTGGTTGGAGGGGCCAAGAGAGGCCTGGACATGTATGTGACATGTATGTGACATGTAATTCTACTCTTATTGATCCAAAGCAGAACTCCAACGTAGAGTTGGCAGAGTAAAAACTTAAACATGTTGCAGGATTCACAAAAAATAGACCAGAGGCAATTGTATTTCATCCAGTGTGCAAGGTCAGAGAATTCCAACAAAAAATATAAAAGGTAGCAGAAGCAGTTCCCATGCTCATCCGTGGTTAGGAACAGAAACCAGTCAACGCATCTTGTTTCGTCCTTTGCTTTACATTGGAATGAATTTAAGTTACGTAAGTAAGTGGGTGGCGCTGTGGGTTAAACCACAGAGCCTAGGACTTGCCAATCAGAAGGTTGGCGGTTCAAATCCCTGTGACGGGGTGAGCTCCCGTTGCTCGGTCCCTGCTCCTGCCAACCTAGCAGTTTGAAAGCACGTCAAAGTGCAAGTAGATAAATAGGTACCGCTCCGGCGGGAAGGTAAACGGCGTTTCCGTGCGCTGCTCTGGTTTGCCAGAAGCGGCTCAGTCCTGCTGGCCACATGACCCAGCTGTATGCCGGCTCCCTCGGCCAGTAAAGCGAGATGAGCGCTGCAACCCCAGAGTCGGCCACGATGGACCTAATGGTCAGGGGTCCCTTTACCTTTACGTCACATTAAACAGTGGACAGCCAGGCAGATAACGTAGTACGTCAAACAAACCGAAATGAAGCAGGACAGGAAAAGCGTTGATTGCGACAAACTCAGATCGCAGGCTTCTTATGTCTCCAACAGCTTTGTTTCGTTGGCAGTATGTTCATTTGCAATTTGTCGCTTATTGGGAATTTGTTCCTATGGTTGGTTTTAAGCCGGTTGTGAACCATGGTTTTTTCACAGTTCTAAACACTTTGTTTCAGGTTTGAAGAAGAGCGGAACAGAGCGAGAAAAGAAAGGTAGGTTTTTCCCTTTTTGTGTATGCTAGGAAAGAGGCCATTATCACAGTTGCCCAGGGTATATTGTCATTTTACATTGTTCCTTCAGGCAAAACCGGCTATTTCAAAATGCAATTTATCCCTAACAGGGCAGAAGAGAAACAGGACACAACTGTGAGAGAGAGGTAAGTCTCTTTCCATGTTATTGCGGATGCATTATATCAGGGGGAAATGGTTTGCAAAACTCTGTATATTAGGCAAAATTGCATACAGACATGTCTATTAGGATTCCCACCCCCTAAAATACTGATGAATTTTCAGGAGAATTCATTTTTTAAACACACATACACACAAAGTAATGTGGAAATGAAGTGAAATGAACTTTAGATTGGAAACATGAAAAACGGAGAGAAACCAAAATTGATAGATTCACCCACCGTATTTTTCGCTCTATAAGACGCACCAGACCACAAGACGCACCTAGTTTTTGGAGGAGGAAAACAAGAAAAAATATTCTGAATCTCAGAAGCCAGAACAGCAAGAGGGATCGCTGCGCAGTGAAAGCAGCAATCCCTCTTGCTGTTCTGGCTTCTGGGATAGCTGCGCAGCCTGCATTCGCTCCATAAGACACATGCACATTTCCCCTTACTTTTTAGGAGGGAAAAAGTGAGTCTTATAGAGCAAAAAATATGGTAACTGTAAATTGAATGCTTACATTGTTTCGTGTACTGACTTCCCTGCACAGTGTTCAAACCCTTTCCAGCCACATAATATATCAGACTCTTATCTATGACAGAAATCTGTCTAATGCAATTACTTTATCGTTTTTCTTCTGCTGTTCCTATCTTGAAGCCAGCCCACGACTGACTGTAGTTTTTCTTCAAAGAGTCCTAAGGGGAAATTTCTAATGCATTCCTGACCACAGAGTTTTACCCCCCAATTTTACCCTCCAAGTGACGGGGGGAAATGGGGGGAAACCCAGAAAAACACTCTGAAACCGTGCAAAAGGCAAACAAGGAAGGGGAAAAAATGCTCTCTTATTTGTCCAATCCCCCCACTCCATGATTTCTGGCGAATTGGCTGCCACAGACTAGCAAAACACAAAAATATTAAGACTTGTTTAAGGCTGCTTATTTGTTTGCAGTGCTATCTGCAGATCTGTTTGGAAATCTGGATATCTGAAACTGTGGTGTGTATAGCTAGGTTTGGTTACCAATTTTCTGATGTTTGGATAAGTGAATTTTCATATACTGAGTGTTTGGATAGCAGTACCTTTATATATCTACTTGAAGAAGCCACAGTCCGATCTGAAAAATACAAATATTTCGGTTACAAAACTATAAAAATTAAGAAAAATTAAGTTTGCAAAACATGTGGTTAGGGTAGATCAACTTGTCAGTGTCCACTTATCTCCAGAGTAAATATAACATATTGGCAAAAGTCGGAAATTGAAAGATAACTATAGCATATACACGAAAATCGATTTCAGATTTGAAATCGGCATTGAAAGAACATATAAGAACAGTTGAAAAATCTCATGCAACAGAAAATGAAAAAAAAAATGTTCCCCAGCTGTTCACTATAATGGGTGTTCTCAGTTGTCTTTTATGGCAGCAAACTTTCCTAAAATCAAATTTTTTCACGGGATCTCAGAATAGGGCTTTCTGTGGGGAACAAACCAGTCCTCCCAAAAAGAATTCCACCCCACCCCGGAATATCGCCGAAACAAAATTTCCAAGTGAATAAAATGGCTGAGATATGGCCTTTGCCAATTTGGTTCAGCTCTAGGGATCTTCAAAGATTTCCGCTTGGGGAATGTGGGACTGCCAGGAGGGATGTTGGGAAAATTCTGAAGGAAACAGAAACAGGAGGAAATGGCTTAAGTCTGCTTATATGTCTGATTTCCGGAACAGAACTCAATACAGCAGATATGATCGTTGTTCATTGTTGCAGTTTTCAGTCTGCAAACTGTACATAACAATGCATAATTGCATTGCATAATTGGCATGGCATTTCCTTTGTGTTGAAATGAAAGGTGTGGAATAATGTACTGATTACATAAGTAATTATGTAAAATTCAGCCAGAGCAGACAGCATGACAACAATTAATAGAGGGCATAATCTAACTAAATTCTACTTAGAGCAGACCAGGGCCGGATTTAGGTTTGATACGGCCCTAAGCTACTGAAGGTAATGGGGCCCTTTATATGTCCAGCTGTCAACAACAAATTGCCGCTGTTTTTTTGTGTTGAATATATGCTAGGTGGTCATTTATGGACCTAATAGGTATCTAAAGCCATTTGCACATGTTGTCATGCAACCAGTCCATGCAGAATGTAGGCACCCTATATATAGAAATGAGCAAACCAGTGATATTTTAGGGAGCAGGCTAGCAGGCGGGGCCCATGACTTACATCCTAGGAGCCTACACAACACAAAACACTGTTGCTGTATGTAGGTTTTATTTTATTTGTTTTTTATCTTATATTTTGGAAGTGTAGATCCAGGTTTACTAATCCGCTTGTAATATTCTGCCTCTTCAGATGTAGAACTACGAGGTTTAACAAGCATACACCATTTTCTAAATTTATTTAGAAATATTCTACCTCTTCAGATGCAGAACTACGAGGTTTAACAATCATACACAATTTTCTAAATTTGTCTACTATTTTGTCTGTCTTCCCAAACAGGCCTACATTGCCAGCAGAGGATCAGGAAACAAGGTGTGGGTTTCTTTTATTTATTGATTGATTGATTGATCTTTATTACGGCCATTGGCCCGTCACACGACAGTTTCCCATACCAACATAATGTACATGAACCTCCAAATTTAAAACCGTCAAAACTTACAAAAAACAGACAAGAACCAAAGCAGAACAAAAACAAAAGACCAACATCATATATTGCAATAAATTTGTAACATAACCATCACCATCTGCTCACAGATCAATAAAAGACATCAATGGTGATTCACCTAGTTACATCCTAAA